CTGTGTGCACTGTCCATCAACAACGACAACCACTACCTGGCGTACCCCAGCAGCACCTCCATTGGAGAAGTGCAGGTCTTTGACCCCATCAACTTGAGAGCTGCCAACATGATACCTGCTCACAACAGTCCTTTAGCTGCGCTGGCTTTCAATGCCAGTGGAACCAAGCTTGCCACTGCTTCTGAGAAGGGGACCATGATTAGGGTATTTTCCATTCCAGAGGGACAGAAACTCTTTGAGTTCCGGAGAGGAGTTAAGAGGTGTGTGAGCATCGGTTCCCTGGCCTTCAGCATGGATGGTATGTTCCTCTCCGCTTCCAGCAACACGGAGACTGTGCACATCTTCAAACTCGAGATTGTGAAGGAAAAACCTCAGGAGGAGCCCACCACCTGGACCGGCTACACCGGAAAGATGCTCATGGCTTCCACTAGCTACTTGCCTTCCCAAGTAACAGAGATGTTCAACCGGGGCAGAACCTTCGCTGCAGTCCGCCTGCCCTTCTGTGGCCACAAAAACATCTGCACCCAGCCACAATTCAGAAGATTCCCCGATTGCTGGTGGGAGTTTCAGACTGGTACTTGTACATGTACAAACTGGACCCCCAGGAGGGGTCAAGTGCACCCTCATGAAGCAGCACAAGTTGGATGGCAGTATGGAGACAACCAATGAGATCTTAGACTCCACCTCTCACAACAGCCCCTTAGTGACTCAGACCTACAGCATGGCTGTAGCCAAAGATGCCCACGTGCCTGCATCTCCAACAAGGCTCGCCTACACAGATGAGCTGGGTGACATGGGCGGCACATGTCTAGAGGAGGAAGCCAGCGCCCTGCGGCTGGAGGAGGACAGCTAGCATCCTCCCATGATTCTTCAGTGGGACTGAACTTGACCTGTGAACTCTGACCCCAAAGCACAGAACACTGGCTGACAGAGGACTTAGTGTTATGCTGCTATGAACTTTGAACTGAGTTGGGGGAGAGGATATCAGAGACTTAAAAAGAAAAAAAGATTATAGCTGTAGTCTCGTTCCCTACTGTTGAGAAATACATGGGTTTCACTTCAGTGGCTTTTAATCTGCTATGAATTTTAGCTTTCTGTTTGTTTTCTCTTTTTGCAAAAATTAACTTCAGTGAAACCCTTGAAACCTCCTTGCTTTGCATGTTAATGTACCAAGTTGGCCTAGGACAGCTAGAAGCCACCTCCACAGCCGCAGCCGTGTGCGGATTAGGCGTGCAGAGCAGGGTGGGTCTGCTCAGACAGCCCAAGGCCCTGGGCTGGCATAGGCAGCAGCCTTGGACAGGGGTCCTCTCAGAGTCCCTCCTGGACCATATCCTCTGCTTTATTTTGTTAATTAAATTCTTTCCAAATTGGAGTATTCTGGGATTTCTTCCATGGCGGACTTCTGTTTTTGATCTTGTTTTTCATGAGGTTGTTGACAGAGAGGCTCTGTCATTCAGACCCTTTCCTTCCAACAGCGAGGGAACTTGAAGGCATGCCTAGGAGCACCAGAGCCCAGGGACGTGGTCTCCCCTGTGTAATTAAATAATCTGGTCATTGCTTTCATCCTGTTGGGAAAAAAAAAAAAAAAAAAAAAGAACTTGACAGCATTCTTATACACCAATGATGAACTCACAGAAAGAGAAACTGAAAAAACAATCCCATTTACCATTGCAGCAAAAAAATTAAGATACCTAGGAATAAACTTAACCAAACAAGTAAAGGACCTATTTGCAGAAAACTACAGGACATTGAAAAAATAAATAGAGGAAAATATAAAAAAGTGGAAGCACATACCTTGTTGATGGATTGGATGATGTACATCATTAAAATGTCCATATTACCTAAAAAAAATCTACAGATTCAATAATCCCCATCAAAATACCAATGACATACTTCACAGAACTAGAGCAAATACTTCAAAAGTTCATATGGAACAAAAAAAAGATCTCAAATAGCCACAGCAATCTTGAAAAAGAAGGACCAAGTACGTGGGATCACAATACCAGATATCAGATTATACTACAAAGTGACTGTAATCAAAAGAGCCTGGTACTGGCACAAGAACAGGCATATAGACCAGTGGAACAGAATAGAGAACTGAGAAATGGACCCAAGACACTATGCTCAATTAATATTTGACAAAAGGGGCAAGAGCATACAATGGAGTAAAAACAGCCTCTTTAATAAATGGTGTTGGGAAAATTGGATAGCTGCATGCAAAAAAAATGAAACTAGATCATCAACTTACACCATACACAAAAATGAACTCAAAATGGATAAAATACTTAAAGGTGACCCATGAATCCATAAAAATTCTAGAATAAAATGTAGGGAACAACATTTAGGATATCATATGCAGCAGAATTTTCACTGATACATCACCTAAGGCAACAGTAACAAAAGAGAAAATGAACACATGGGACGACATCAAACTGAAAAGCTTCTGCACAGCAAAAGAAACAACCATCAAAATGGAAAGGCAACCCACTGTATGGGAGAACATCATTGCCACTGATACATCAGATAAGGGGTTAATTTCCAAAATATATAGAGTACTCATACAACTCAACAAAAAAAGACAAAGAACCCAATAAAAAATGGGCAAAGGAGCTGAATGGACACCTCTCCAAACAGGACATACAAATAGCGAAGAGACATGTGAAGAAATGCTCAAGATCACTAATCATCAGAGAGATGCAAATTAAAACAAGAATGAGATATAACCTCACACCGGTCAGAATGGCCACCATCAGCAAATCATCAAACAAACAGTGCTGGTGAGGGTGAGGAGAAAGGGGGACTCTAGTACACTGCTGGTGGGAATGCAGACTGGTGCGGCAACTATGGAAAACAATATGGTGTTACCTCAAATAATTAAAAATTGAACATCCATTTGAACCAGTGATCCCACTTCTAGGAACATATTCTAAGAAGGCTGAAACACCAATCAGAAAGAATATATGTACCCCCATGTTCATAGCAGCACTAGTTACAATAGCTAAGATCTGGAAACAGCCCAAAAGTTCATCAGTAGACTAATGAATAAAAAAGCAGTGGTACATATACACAATAGAGTACTATGCAGCTGTGAGAAAGAAAGATCTCTTATCCTTTGAGACCACATAGAGGGACCTGGAAAGTATTATCGTAAATGAAACAAGCCAAGCAGAAAAAGGCAAATACCACTTGATCTCACTTATTTATTGAATATAATGAATATAGCAGTCTGAGGAATAGGGTAGAGCCAGAAACATGGAAGTAGGGTACAGACTGGCAAACCTCAGAAGAGGGGGTAGTGGGGGAAGGGAAGAAATAAACCACAGAACTTATATGCATGTACACATAACCAATAGACATGGACAATATAGCCAGGGACAGGGCGGGGTGAATGGGGAGGAGGGTGTCAATGGGGTAGAAAGGGAGAAACATCTGTAACAAAAAGAAAATTAAAAAATAAATAAATAAAAAATAAATCCAAGGGGCAGCTGCAATGTGGAATTCTGCACTTTGGATAATACTTGGCATTTTGTGAAATTTCAATGAGTACAAAGTAGTATGAATACTAACAATGCTTTGAGGCCAATGTTAAATTATTGCTTCTCATGCTAATTCAATCTGTCAGAATTATTTTCACTTGATTTTTAAAATACTTGGTTTTGAAGTACTCTTGACACTTTGTAAAAACAGTATATTTTATTTTTCTGACACCACAGCTTTGGTGAGTGGTTTTGTACCAAATTTAATAGAGGTTACACAAAATGTTTTATGTATGGGAGGGAGAAGAGGAGGAACCACAGAATTAAAAACAAAGACCTGGGTTGCTTTTAGCATCTGTTTTACACCCACATGAATAAAATTCACTTGGGAATTACTAATAAAAGGAGGAAAAAAACAAGGTATATTGGAGAAAAAAAATTGAAGGCAAAAGAAGACCCTTGAGCATCCCAAAGACAGGCCTCTCCCTCCCAAAGCTAGGAAGACACCCAACATGGAAGGTACTTTGTATTTTTAACAACAAATGTCCATTGATATTCAAAACAGATACAGTTCTGATATGTCCCACCAAGAGCTAAGACATTTGACCTTCTTCTAAGTCTTACCAGGTTGCTTCTGATTTCTTCTTCACACTTACCAGTTTTCTTTTTTGTGGTTGATATCTTCTGGACTCCACTTACTGTAAGGTAGGGAAAGGTTATGGTATATACATAAGGAAATGAAGGTCATATTGTATTCCATAAATACCCATATATAATGAGTTAACCAATTAATGGTCAATTTCTAAAGTGACCTTATGGTAAAATTCATTGTTGAAATTCCTTCACAATGCCAGTTTTGGTGGATGAAATTCATCAAGGCTGACCCCTTTCTACTAGGATTTCTCCTTTGTGGAAAGCCAGAATTAGACCCTTCAGATATCTCAATAAACACTGTTAAGAGCTATGTAAGGTAACAGGTATCTTCTATATGTTGATTTGGTTTTTGTTGTGTATCCTCTCAAAGTACATGTTGGTTTAGAAATCAATGGCAAAATCAAATAACCTATGCAATATCTGGTAATGGACTGGCCATAGGGGCAGAGCAGAAATGACTATACTTCTAGTTACAGACTTTCTCACATGTTTTCATGATCAGATTTTCAACATAAAAAATATTTATCTCTTATTAACTAATGTCACCCCAATAAATTTAATAAAAATATTTATCATTAGGAAAAAAGTCCTACCATCTTATGGTTCAGAAGATGGGTACAGCTGTTCTATGTAGCTATGTAGTTACCTCATGGTCTGAAATGTCCATATTAACACTTTGTTTCACATATTCCTGTCAGAAGAAGTAGAAAACTGGTCTGTGTTTTTGTTTTGTTTTTGTTTTTATGTTGTTTCTGATTTCTAGGCAATGTCCTAAATGGAAAAGCCAATACTCTTGAAATATATAGTATACAAACAAAGTTATAAACACCCAATAAAGTCATTTTGCTATTTCTTTCTTTGTTCCTACAGAAACTCGACATATTGCATGAAGGTGTCAATGTCCTTGACTGTTGCAGAGAATGAATCAGGCCTGTGCTACAATAGCAGGATCCGCTATTTAGAAAAATCTGAAGTCACCAAAAGAAAAGAGATCTCCTGCCCAGATATGGATGACTTTAAAAAATCTGATCAGGAGCCTGATGTTGTGTGGTACAAGGTAACTCGGCATGGTGTTAAATGCATTTTTGTACCTTAAGTCAATAATTGGTTTTGGAATAGGAAATGGGAGAGCTTTTATTTTTGGTTTTTGGTATTAGATATTTTACTGAGAAATCACCAGATCCATAATTAAATAATACAGAGATATAAATCTTATATGCCACTGGTTTTCTTGCAATTCCATCTGTGGGTGTCAGAAACAATCCCACCTATTCCAACTGCTAAAAAATTAGTAAAATCTCACTTCACCTCAACTCATGAGAGAAAATGAAAAGAAGAGTTAAAGTTTAAGAAACTATTTGAGTGATATAGAAATATGATTTACTGATAGGAACAAAAGCCCACCATTACGAGTAATAGTAGTTACAAAGAATAACAACTGTTATCATGGTCTAGAGAGCCATTGCAGTTAATGTAGAGGAGAAAAATGGGCCCAGTACACGGTGTGTGAACCCAAGAAATAATGTGTTTAACTAGAAATAAAACACACTAAAAAATTGAATAGAAGAGATTTAAAGGAACTATTTACAGAGGTGTGGCATGGGAAAGGAGCTGTGTCACTGGAACTTTGCAAGAGTGGTATGGGCCTGTCCAGAGCCCTGGCCTTTGTGGAACATATGGACTGTGGCAAATAGAGGGGGAGTGGGAAAAATAAATACCCTAATTTCTCCTAACTCCTGCCTTCCAGTTTCTCACTACTACCTCCCCCTCTCCCTAGTGTGAATTCAAATGAAGTGAGGGGGCAAAACCTGGAGATATAATGAATAGTATTCAGCTTCCCTGGTGATAGAGTAGGGCAGACAAAGGCAGAGAATGGATCTAAGGGAGGAAGCAGAGAAATTACCTTACAATATTTAAGCTATGATAGTTTGACTGCTAGCCAAAGGCCCTATGGTCCTATAACAAGACTGAATGCCTTCTGCCAGCTCTGAGCCACAGTGGTTAACACTCAGTAGAATTTTAAATGTGATGGCCAGAGATGATCAAGGAAGTTTTCTGCACAGGTGCTGTGCACATTGTTGAAATCAAACATACATAAAATGTGGAATAGATTGTTTCTATAGGATTTAACAGATCCTTAATTCCCTTGGAAGCCTAAACCTTAATTTCTATAGCTGCCAGTGGTTTTACATTGGGAAGCCTCTCCATATGACACATGGAGAACTCATCAAAAGACACCAAGAGCATGTCCTGAACTAGAACCTCAAGCCTCTATGAAAATTGTCTCCCCCTTTATTTTTCTTAAGGAGATAAGAATGTGGCAGATAAAAAGAAACATGATGTTCATTATGCATAAATATAGAATATTCATAATTTGTGGGACTATTTTGCTATCATCAGCCTTGTTTGTAATTATTAAACACTTGCTATGTGCTGTCCACTGTGCTAAGCTTGGTCACTACATTATCTCAGTTAGGTTTCAGTGCAACTCTGTGTGGTGGGCACGATTATCCTCATTTAATAGACAAAAATGTGAGGCCTAGAGGGATGTAGAAACTTTTCCAAAGTTACTCAGTTAACAAAATTTGGTTTTGTATCTAAAGGCAGTGTGACTCCAGAGTCACATTGGGGCTAAACTCAGCCTTAATCATAGGCACTTCTCTCAGGTACAGCACTGGTGCAGAGGATCCAACAAAAAGATAGAGTAAGATGGTTTTATTTCACTTCTATACTTGAAAGGAGGTTGACTACCTCAAAAGTTAGCATCTAGGAGTAAAATTAAGGACATCAGCCTTCTCTTACAATATTCATTCTACTAGCTCATCTTCTTACCTTTCTGCTAAACTCTTTCTTCCTCTTTTCTTCACATCTATAAACATCACTATCATCATTATATACAAAAACAATTTATTCATTGGGCTATGCTCACTCTTATTCTTTCCTAGAAATGGACCAACAGTGGTGAAACAAATGGCTCTCCAGCTATCCCTGTGTAATTGCATTTAGTATTTCTACAACATTTTACTATTGATATATAATAATCATAATAATAGCTAATATTTATTGAGTACTTACTATATTTCAGGCTCTGTTTTAAGTGCTTTAGTTGGTTTAAGTCAATCTCTAGCATTAATATATGAGGTAGGCATTATTATTATGTCCATATTATAGAAGTTACTGGAGACTCAAAGAAATTAAGTAACTTAACATAAGTTACACAGCAGTTTTTGATTTGCAGTTTGGCTAGTGGGCCCATCCTCTTAGTCATTCTACTATATTAATGGATATACATAAAATACCAGAACCCAAATTTAAGCTCCCAGATAGATTTTTAACTCTGCTTCTGACACAAGGTTTCAAGTAAATCTTTGAAAAAAAAAATTAATGTATTAGGAAAATATTTATTTTTAAGTCAATAATTTCATCATCTGCCCTACTTGTTTTGCAGTTGTGCTCCTGCCAGGCTGAGCATGAAGTGATTTTGCTCTGCCTATAGCAGTGTAAAGAGGAGGACACACTTGTTCAAAGTTCATTTTGGTATTTGGTATACATCCAAACTTAGACAGGTATAATGTATTATCTCTAGTCTTTTAATAGTAAAAAAACAAAAAAAATGTGTTTTACATGATCTTTTTCCCAGTCACCTTTTCAGGTATGTGTGATATTTAAACTTTTTTTTTTTTTTTTTTTTTTTTTTTTTTTTTTTTTTGTGCTCTGGCTGATTTGGATCAGTGGTTAGAGCATCAGCCTATGGACCAGTGAGTCGTGGGTTAGATTCCGGTCAAGGGCACATACCTCGGTTGCAGTTCATCCCCAGCTTTGGTCAGAGTTGTGTGGGAGACAACCAGTTGATATGTCCCTCTCACATCAATGTTTATCTCTTTCGCCCTCTCTCTCCATCCCTCCCACTCTATCTGAAGATAAATAGAAAAATATCCTCAGGTGATAATTAAAAAAATAAGAATAAACTTTTTTTTTAATTCATTCAGCTTTTTGCTTACTCTTTAATTATTTTGTATCATTCTTATGTTCTGTTAAGGTTCCCCAGCCTGTCTGACATATGCTATTGTAGGCCTTTAATGTCTATCCTTTTATACCTACACATAATCACCAATGGACAGCAAGGTAGGGGCAGATCAGGTAGCACTGGATCATGTTCATAAAAATGACTGAGTAAGACTATCCTGGTTGTCTTAGGAATGTAAAAGATATGTGTAAGGGGTCATATTCCCTTTATTTGAACTGTCAGTTAGTAAAAAATAATAATAGGAAGAAAAAGGGCTACACTTCTAGCACTTCCTCCTGACACTATATGAATGAGGCTTACATAGTACAACAAAATATACCATGATATTAGTGTCTTGAGAAACATTTTTGAAATAAGAGCTAAAGATTGTTTTCTTTATTGAACTAAGAACACTAGAACAATCTCATTATTTACTGAGAACACTTGTTGCAGGAATATTGAATCCTTTTATCCCAGTTCTAAGCAAAATAATCCCCTAACTTTAATAAAACAGTAATAAAAATGCAAATACATATTTTTTTGGTAAAACACTCATCTATTTGATTAGTTACTTCAGTTGATAAGAGACAGATGCTAATATGGTCAAGGCTACCAGTTTGCAACTTCCATTTTCTTACCCCAGTGATCTCAATTTCAGATGTTTGCCATTGGTTATATGGGATGGATTTGGGCATTAATTCATGTTTCAGTGAATATTCATTCTTTTATTTGTACAACTCTTCATTTATTCAAAACATTTATTGAATAATTACCATATGCTAGGAGGGAGGTAGATAAGTAAAGAGCTTCTCCTCAACACTCCAGGAAGGAGTTACATCAATTAAAACATCTAAAGAACAGATCCTACTTGAAATCAACAGCATTTGCATCATGTAAAGAGCAGTAGACATATCTCTATTTTAAACCATAGATAGCAGAGGAAGTGACATCAGAGGAATGGAAGCATGAGAGATCCTCTTAGGCTCTCCCCCTGAAACTCCAACAAGTTTATCAGCTATAACCCAACAGAGAATGACCTGTTCAACAAACAGACCCAACAAAGAGATCTGTGCATTGAAGCAGCTATAGTTGGTTAAATAGAAACAAATGGGAAACAAGAAGGGTGGAGAACTCAAATGGCCATGAACACAGGCCTCCAGTCAGGAGCTGGAGGCCAGCTCAGTCCAGAGAGGGGAGGAATTTGGCTGTAGTGGTTGTTTTCTTCAGCCTCACGGTGCAGAGAGCCTTGGTGGACACTCTTTTAGGAGTGAGCAGTATAAGCTGTGACTGCCTAGAGGCCTGAGCAAGGACACAGTGCAGGAGCCTCTTGTGGTTGTCAGCCATTGGGTGGTCAGTCTTCCAAACAAAGGAATAGAGCCACAGAGCCCTGCTGTCCTTGGTGTCAGGTTGTGGAACACATTATCTGCAAATCCAAGAACTGTTACTGAAGAATCACTACTTCTTGCAGTGACTGATCCGTGTTTGGAGTACATGGAAAGGGACTCTATGGAAGTCTGAGGTTGCCATTACCAAGAGGGCAAAACAAACCCCACCACCCAGTACTGCAGCTACAGTAACGGTTGCCATAGTGGTTAGCTTTGGAATTCACAGAGCTAAAAAATCTTGTAATTCAGTGTCACCTACTGGAAAATTGTAGAAAGACCTCTTCATAGAAATCTGCTAGACATTTTCAATATGTTTATAGATACCTAGACAGAGAAGGAACCCATCAAATGCCATGAATATTCAAGGTAGTAAGGCAGTTTAGAAAGAAAATAAAAAATCTCCAGAAAGCAAACTGGAAGATGTAGAAATATGTGAAATATATTACAGAAAATTCAAGATTGCCATTCTGAAAATACTTAAGGAGATGTGAGAAAATCAGAGAGGCAAGCTAATGCACTCAGAAAACAAATTAATAAACAAAATGAGTACTTTATCAGACATATTGAAACTTTTAAAAAGAATCAAACAAATCTTGGAGATGAAGCATTCAATTATGGAGATCAGGATTGAGCTATTGAGCATAAAAAGTAGAACCAAGATGGAGG